AAGAATTTGTAAGAGGTCAAAAAACAAAGTTGTTCAAAATTTCAAGCTTAATCTACTAGCGTGTCAAAATACGTCCAGCGCCCACTTCCGGCCAAACCGGAAGTAGTCGGAAAACCGTTTTTTCCCGTTCTTGACATGTTTTGTGGTTACATATGTCTCGGGAAGCAAAAAAAGAATTTTTCCGTCCGTCGTCGTCACTTCCGGTAAACCGGAAGTAGCAAAAAATGGCTTATTTTGAAAGTTTTGGTGCAAAATTGAAATCATTAAGTCACTGGAGATTTTTAAAGTCCTTCTTTCTTTTGTTGTGTCACTTCCGGCATTTCCGGTCAAAACCGGACGGAAGACCTACTCGTTGCTTTGCAACAGTTTTGTCTTTATTATTTTTTTTTTTCTTACCGATTTTGTGCATGCGATTTCTCAAAACGGCTCCATGGATTTCAACAAACTTTAGGACTTATGTAACATTCTTAACCTCATGCATTTTTTTCCGTTTTGATGACGTCACTTCCGGTTTGGAAATATTGCCTTTTTTAGAATTTTAAAGGGTCAGGTTGTCCCCAATTTTCCAATAATGGCTTAGATAGAAACATGAAACTTTAGGTATGATAGAGCAAAGTCTAAAATGCGTAACGTCTTTCGTTTTTACGGGAATCAGTAGTGGGCCCTGGCTATGGCTCGGAAAATGACATATCGCAAATTTCAAAATTTTTAACACCTTTTCTACGATATCTTTTTAACTGAAAACATTTTGTTTAAACATATATAACAAAATAAGTGTAAAATTTCAAGATCTTTCAAATGATATCTTAAAAAGGGTCCCATAAATTTAAGGGCCTAGAGGGGCCAAATTTTTTTCTTTCATAAGTAAAAAAGTATTAAGAATTTGAAAGAGGTCAAAGAAGCAAAGTTGTTCAAAATGTCAAGCTTTATCTACTGGCATCGTCAAAATACGTCCGGCGTCGTCACTTCCGGCCAAACCGGAAGTAGTCGGAAAACGCGTTTTTTTTTGCCGTTCTTACAAGTTATGTGGTTACATATGTCTCTGGAACATAAAACGTAATTTTTCCGCCCGTCGTCGTCACTTCCGGTCAAACCAGAAGTAGCAAAAAATGGCTTATTTTGAAGGTTTTGATGCAAAAATGAAATTATAAAGTCACTGGAATTTTTTAGCTCATTGCTTTCTTTTGTTCTGTCACTTCCGGCACTTCCGGTCAAAACCGGACGGAAGTTGTTGCTTTGCAACGAGCTTTGTCTAGTTATTATTTTATTTTTTTCCCGCTCGATTTTTGACAGGCGATTTCTCAAAGACCTTTGGACTATTTTTATGAAGCTTTCAGGTTAGAACCTTGTTTTAAACCTTTTTAACCTGTTTTCAATTTTTTGATGCATGCCTTTAATTGTAGTTATTGCCCTTTAATTGATAATTTTTAGTCTCGTTTCCACTAAAAATCTCAAGAAGAGTAAATATTTACACGAAAGTTGGAGAACTTGTAGCCAATACATTGTGATGTCAGAACGATAAAATTATAAGCTGATTTCCTAAAGTTTGGAAGCTATAAAACGGCAAATTTTAGTAATTTTTTTTTTTTAATTTTTGCTACTTTTTGTGTAATAACTTTTAAACCGAGAATAATTTGGTTAGAAAAAATAACAAAAGTTGTGGGGAATTACGGGGCTTTATATTTATTAATGAAAAGGGGCTGGCCCCTATAATTAGGGGTTAAAGCCATACACGCTTTTTTCTGATAGCTAAAAATATTGGTATATTATGAAAAAGTTTGACTGAAATAATTTCAATTTTTAAAAAACTTTAATTTTTATATAAAAAGAAATAAACTTCCAGCTATATTTAATTGATTATTTTATAAAACAAGTACATGTATTTAGAAACCCTTTCAGGAACAAGTTGTACCATAGCCGCCAAGCCTTTACTGCATACATGTGCACATTTTTTGTTGATGCATCTAAAAGATATAGTTTTGATTCGGTGTTTCTTTGTTTTCTTTTTATTCAAATAATTTTAAAATGTGATGATGTACACAACAATAATTAGTCCTAGTTTAGAGGATTTTTTGCGCTTGTTTGTAAACAACGCGCGGCATTGTGGGAAATAGGAAGGTACTAAAAAGGATGTACTAAACACTGATTTGACCTGATTCAAATTTGTCTGTAAAAATTTTAAAAAATTGAATTTTTGTATAGCATATGCCTCGAAGTCATAAAGTCTGTACATAAGTAATTTAAAATACTCAATATTACCATTTAATTAAAAATTAAAACGTAGATAAATATCAGGTCTCTAGTATATCCCGTTTTTATGTCCCCTTCGAGTACGTGGACACATGTTTGCCATGGTTTACAAACTGAAAATAGAATGATTTGTGAAGTTGAACATTTTTTCACAAAGAATCCGTTTGTAGACATGTACACTCATTTAATCTGCAGATACGAAGTACTTTGTCACTTCTCTGGAACATTATTCTAAGCAAATTATCCCGATTCATATATTCTAAGAATCTTGTGTGAATTGTTTACGAGGAAATTCTGACTGTCACATTAACAAAGGTAACACTCTTGACTCTGCTTCGGATTCCCCCGTGATAATTGTATGAGTGATGAAAGAGCTGACGGCGACATTTTAATGTATATTGGCTTGGACCATTGGAATGAAGGTTAGAATATTTTTATTACTTAAAATTTACACTACTGATTACATGACAGTGACATACATTATGTTATTAGAAATACACAGACACACCGATATATTATCTGTTTTACAGTTCAGACGCTCTTTTTACCTTGTAAATCCCCACAGCTTTATATTTTATTTTTTTTAAATTTGAGGATGAATTTCAACAGTCCTACTATCTATCATAGTGATCAACTCATAATTCAAACTGCACGTAATGTTACAGAATATATTCAACTAATTTAATTGACAGTGTGACTGTAAGGGTAAGGGCAGATACTTATTTAGTTTTTAAATTTTGATTGTGCTTGTCAAGCCGCATTTGACATTTTGGTATCCATGCTCAGTGTTCACACTGAGAGTTTATTCAAATGTTTAATTCGAAGAATTCACTGCTCATTAAATTACTTCCCATTAGCTAATGGAACATGAGTAAGGATAGCTAATTCAAATTAAATAGAAATGAATTTTGAATGTAGCTTAAAAATGTTAAAAAAGCTAAGCACCGTGGGTCCAAAGTACACTGGGAAAAATTGTGTGGAGCAATGTGCAAGTCACAATCTTCTTTTGCCAAGGTCTTATATAAGAGCTCCATCATGGGCAGGAATTTGTGCTGCTGTCTGGACTCGCTATAAATAGATGTTCTCAAAAAGTCTTAAATTTTTTAATATCATACTTTATGACAAAAAAGGACAAATATTGCTCAGTTAAATTGCAAAAGAAATTTTTTAAAAAAATTGTAATAATAGAAAGTTTGTTTTTTTGTTTGATAAGACTGCTGTAATGGTTTAATGTTTGTTTATTTGCCTTTAAATCATACATTTTTCAGTCATTTCATGGTGCCACCACTTGGGATGGATTAGCTGCAAATATAGACTTCAGTACTCAGCACTTATTGCCTTTAAGAAGTATGAGATCCATTTTGTGCTAACACCTACCGTGACACAGAATCTTGGTTTATGCAGTCTCATAGGATAACCTGTCTAAAGCATCAAATTTAGCAATGGGATTGGAACCTGCGACGTAAGGTTAGCTTCTTTTTATACTTTGATTTATAATATTTATTTGAGAATTTCATCATTCACATACTTAGAGATGTTGTATATATTGTTGAATAGCATCAATTTAGACCTTTACGTAGCTAAGTAAACATGTACTGTAGGTTTTTAAGGTCTCATTTATTTTATATGTCAGATGCATGTTAAGGAACATTACTGCATAAATTTTTTGTCTTAAATTTGAAGCTCTTTCTAATTAGAGATATGTTAGGTTAAACCTCTTCAAATTGGGTAACCTTTTTTTAAACTAGCAATGTGAGTGTGTTGTGTGAACTTGTGTTAGCGAGACAGTGTGTTGTATGAATTTGTGTTAGCAAGGCAGTGTGTTTTGTGAAATTAATTGTGTTAGCCTGACGTGGGTTGTGTGAATTCTTGTTAGCTTGACGATGTGTTGCGTAAACCGGTTTTTCGGGACAGCGTGTTGTGTGAAATCGTGTATAGAGTGTAAGTGTGACAGTGTGTTGTGTAAACTCGTGTTAGCTAGACAGAGTGTTGATTGAACTCGAATTAGCGAGACTTCGTGTTGTGTAAACTCGTGTTAGTGAGACTGCGTGTTGTGTAAACTCATGTTAGCGAGACTGCGTGTTGTGTAAACTCATGTTAGCGAGACAGCGTTGTAACATATGATTACTTGATATGTTTATTTGATCGGGTTCGTTATACAAATTATCTATTAATAAACTTGTTGATGGAACACATGTGTTATCCCTAGCAGTTCAGGTTTCGGGCATACAGGCGGACATTACATGGTGTCAGAAGTACTAGCTGTGTCAGGGCAGTCATTCAGAACATTCCGTTTCAGTTTATTGCCGTTTCCGAGAGAAACAGCTATTCGCATTCTCCAAAAACCTGGATATATCAGGTCAGTGAATGTGAAATTTCAAGATGGCCGCCGCTGCACAGTTCGACCCGCCAAATTTAGACTGGGAAGCACCAGACATGTATCAGGAATTCTGTCGCTTTAAACAGCACGTACAGTTTGTGTTCAAAGGACCACTTACATCTGCTAAGGACAAAGATCGAGCAGGATGGCTGGGAATCTGGGTCGGTAAACAAGGACGTGAAGTGTACAAGACATTTGAGTGGGACTCTGGAAGACTGAAGAGGACAAACCCAACAAAATTCTCTCAGAATTCGAGGCATACGTTAGCCCAAGGAAAAATAAACGAGCAGCCCGATTTAAGGTGAAACAGAGAAAACAAGGTGAAAGTGAGCCATTTGATAACTTTGTTAAAGACTTAAAGCTAATCATTATGGACTGTGAATACACAAACCCCGATGATCTCCTGATAGACGCTATAATAGCAGGAATCAGACATGTGAAGGTACAAGAGAGACCTTACACTCGCAAAAGCTCTCAGCATTGGTCGTCAGTATGAAAACTCACAGAAACAGCTTAAACTCATTCGATGAAGTTAGGATCAGACAGTAACTCATCAGGTTTCACAAATACATGCCGCACATAAAAAGGTGTATCAGCACAAACCTCGTCACAAAACAAAGAGACACAAGAAAATAGCCTTACGTACCCAAAGCCAAAAGTGAGAAGTGTATTAGATGTGGGCTTGACCCTACAGAAGACCACGCAAAATCAGGTCAGTGTCCGTCAATCGGACCAACGTGCAAATATTGTCATATAAGAAGGACCATTGGATAGCCGCATGAAACCAGTTCTTTAGATGAAGGAGTACTTCACATATACAGTGCACAAGATGACAGTTCTGTGGCTAATGACAAATGGGTAGTCAAAGCAACCATCAACAAGCCTGTGAAATTCAGAAAAGACACCGGGGAAAAGTCTTCAATTATCGTGAAATCAGTGTTCGACTTGGATCTCACGCACAGACTCGCAAGAGTACAAAATTTCTCAAATCTTACACTAATCATAGGATCCGTCCCTTATACAGTGTTGACCTTCCAATCAAACATAAGGGAAGCAGGTGAATGCGCAGTTCGAAATCGTAGAGTTGGAACAAGAAAACATTATCAGTGGTGATGTCGCAGAAAAATTAAATCTGATTGAAAGGATACAGAAACTGGATACGGGGATCGATTATCAACCAATGTTCAAATGTTCAAAGATTTTCCTGAGCTCATTAAAACTTCAGGAACCCTGCCTGGAGAACACAACATTGAAATAGATCCAGATGCCGAAGAAGTTATTCATGCACCCCGTAGACAGCCAGCATCACTGAAACCAAAGATCATAGATAAGCTTAAGGAAATGGAACAGAATGACTACATTACAAAAGTAAATACTCCAACTGAATGGGTCAGTTCGATGGTCGTTTCTCTGAGGAACGATAAGATTCGCATCTGTTTGGACCAGTCCGACCTGAACAAAGTCGTCAAGAGAGCTCATCACCCCATGAAAACAGTCGAGGATATTGTTTCAAATATACCAAATGCACGTGTTTTCTCCAAGGTAGACGCAAAGTCAGGATTCCTCCAAATTAAGCTGAATGAGAAATTTTCATACCTAACAACCTTCATTACTCCAATAGGAAGGTACAGATGTTTTTGTCTTCCATTTGGCATTAAATTCATTCCTGAAATCTTTCAGCATATCATGGATCAGATGCTCGAAGGGATAGATGGTGCAGCAGCAGTGATGGATGACATACTTATTGGAGGAAGAGATGTAGAACAGCATGACCAGATATTCAGAAAGGTCACTGAGAGAGCTTCACAGTATAATCTGAAGCTTAACTATGACAAATGCGAAATCAGATAGCCGCAGGTCTCATATATAGGACACTTGATTACAGTGAATGGCATTAGGCCAGACCCAAACAAAGTCCGAGCTCTAGTTGACATGCCAAGGCCAAAGGATAAGGGAGGAGTGAGACGCTTCCTAGGACTGGTTCAGTATTTGGCCAAATTTATACCAAACTTAAGTCAAGTCGATGCATTACTACGAGTTCTTGTGAAAGCAGAAACACAATTCGCGTGGAATCACGAGCAGGAAAACTGTTTCAGGGAACTTAAAAGACTCTGTAGTAGACAACCTGTGCTTGCGTTTTACGATGTAAACAAGCCAGTGGAGATTCAATGTGACGCATCTAAGGATGGACTCGGTGCAGTTCTAATCCAAGCAGGACGCCCTGTCGCATACTCATCTCGCTCGCTCACAGACACAGAGAAGCGCTATGCGCAAATAGAAAAGGAAATGCTGTCCATTGTTCATGCAGCAACAAAATTCCATTGTTATATCTTTGGAAAAGAAACCATTGTCTACAATGACCATAAACCACTGGAAATGATCTTTCAAAAGCCACTAGTTTCCGCACCCATGAGGTTGCAGAAAATGCTGCTGAGGCTTCAGTGGTACAACCTAAAAGTCCGTTACCGCAAAGGAAAGGATATGACAGTCGCAGATGCTCTTTCCAGAGAGTACCTACCTGAAGCTGATCCGGAGATGGAGACTCTAGAAAACATCAATATGTTCGATATGTTAGACGTCACTCCAGATCGCTATTTGGACATAGCCCAACGTACCAAATTAGAATTGTCAGACCTATGTAGCATAATAGTACAAGGATGGCCAGACATCAAATCCGAAACACCTCTTAGCGTCAGAGAGTATTGGGATTCTAGAGATCTCTTATCAGTCACAGATGGCATAGTCTACAAGGGATGGAGGATCGTTATACCAAGTTTACAAAGCTACATGCTGAAAGTGATTAATGAGTTACATTTAGGAATTGTCAAGTGCAAACAGAGGTCATGTATTGGCCCGCAATGAATACAGCCATTGAAGAGGAAGTCAGGAACTGTTCAAAATGAGCCACGTACCAAAACAAACAGAGTCGTGAACCACTTAAGCCAGCATATGCACCTGAGATTCCTTATGGGGAAGTTGGATGTTATTTGTTCGACTTTCAACAGAAGACGTACCTTATGATAGTCCACAACAAAATCAGCAGTCGTCAATGCCATGAAAGCCACATCTAGTTGTCACGGGATTCCAATGAAATTGCGATCAGACAATGGGCTTCAATTTAATTCACGAGAATTCCATTTGTTTTGCAACTTATACGGAATACAACACACCACATCAAGTCCGCATTTTCAAAGTTTTAATGGAGAAGCAGAAAGAGCAATACAGACAGTCAAGAAACTGTGGAGAAAGTCAGATGATAGATATCTCAGCTTGTTAAACTACCGAACAACACCGCTGGAGTCAGTCAACCTATCACCAGCACAACTCTTAATGGGCCGTAGACCACGGAACAACTTACCAACCCGAACAGAGCTACTCAAGTCCAGAAACGCAGGACCAAATCTAAGTCAGCAAATGAAAGATATCAAGGAGAAGCAGAAGTTCTATTATGATAGGAGACATGTGAAAGAATTACCGCGCTTAGATATCGGTGATCAAGTAAGAGTTGCACCCCAGAAACCTCGAACACCAAGGAGTGGAAACCAGCAACAGTAGTTGAACAACACAAACAGCCGAGATCCTACATCGTTGAGTTTAACAACAATCAGAGGCTCCGACGCAACAGGAAACATCTCAGACGAACAAATCCGAATGCTTACCGTGTGCCAGAAATGGAACCAGAACCGGACACAGAAAGTGATTCCGAGATTGATACGCACGAACCTCCAAACACAGTGAGCAAACATTCTTCGAAAGGTGTTGTACTTGCAAACTCACCTAAACCTGTCGTTACTTCATCTGGTCGTGTTGCGAGGAAACCGAACCGACTAAACCTCTGAATTCCTATTCATTGACATTTGTGAACTCAGTAATTAGTTTATCATATGGAATTGATTGCTTTAATTATTTCAGAAATTGTCTTATTGAACGTTGCTAATTAACAGAATTTCTAATTGATGAGTCACTTTAACTTTCATTTCATTTATTCATTTGAATTGAATTTTAATTTCATATTGTATTAATCTTTCTAAAGAAAGGGAGATGTAACATATGATTACTTGATATGTTTATTTGATCGGGTTCGTTATACAAATTATCTATTAATAAACTTGTTGATGGAACACATGTGTTATCCCTAGCAGTTCAGGTTTCGGGCATACAGGCGGACATTACAAGCGTGTTGTGTGAACTCTTATTAATGAGACAGCATGTTGTGTGAATTCGTGTTAGCGTGACAGTGTGTTGTGTGAACTTGTTATCCTGAAAATTTGTCGTGTGAACTGGTGTTAGACAGATAGTGTGTTGTGTGAACTCTTGTTAGCGAGATTGCATATTGTGTGAACTCGTGTTAGCCAGACTGCGTGTTATGTGAACTCGTGTTAGCGATATTGCATGTTTTTGAATTTGTGTTAGCGTGACAGTGTGTTGTGTGAACTCGTGTTAGCCTGACAGTGTGTTGTGTGAAATGGTATTAGGATGACAGTGTGTTGTGTGAAATGGTATTAGGATGACAGTGTGTTATCGCAACAGCGTTTGATGCGAACTTGTGTTAGTGAATAGTGAGACAGCCTGTTTTGTGAATTCGTGTTAGCGTGACAGTGTGTTGTGTGAACTCGTGTTAGCCTGACAGTGTGTTGTGTGAAATGGTATTAGAATGACAGTGTGATGTGTGAAATAGTATGAGGATGACAGTGTGTTATCGCAACAGCATTTGGTGCGAACTTGTGTTAGTGAATAGGGCCATCCTTAAAAAATTGTTTGTTTGGAATTGCCGCCTGAAGGTTTTCAATCAGAGGAGGGAGGGAGGGAAATTATTTTTTTTTTAAATTTAAGAAAAATTTTAATTTGTTTTAAAAATCTCAGTAAACAGTAAATTCATTTTCTGACTTTAAACAAAAATATCTACAATCAACAAAAAAAAAAACCCTTAATTTTACATAGATCTTTACACTATATTTCAGTGTTTTGTATGGTGATGTATAAATTTAAAGGGCAAAAAATTGATTAAATAAAAAAAAAATCAT